AATTTAAATATCTAGGAAATGTTTTAGCAAAAGACGGAAAGCGTGACACTGAAATTCGAGATATTAAGAAATAGGAAAATTTCGTTAGAAACAAAGAAAAGAGTGCTGCACTCTAACGTAATATAATTCGTCCGATATAGCAGTGAATTCTGGAAATAGAAATACAATATAAATGTTGTTATACAGAAGGATGCTGAGAATGTCATTGACCAAACATGTGAACAATGGAAAAAAAATGGAAAAAAAACAGGACACTTATATATATCCTCAGAAAAAATACAGTTGAAATTCCTAGGGCACACAATGAAAAAAGAAGGCTTGAAAAATTTGCTACTTACAGGACGCAAGGAGGACATAGCATAACAAACAATACATAACCCCCACTAGCGATCTTGAGTAAATGGATGGCAAAATAGAGTCCAGAAGAAGTTTTTCTCGCCGGAGTCCATCCTTCAAATCTATAAATCAACCATTCGCCCTTGCACGAAATACTGCTGCCATATATGGTCTGGAGCCCTCGCTGTTCGTCTTAGGGTCCTCGACAAAATCCAGAGACAGATATGCAATATGATTGGTCCTTATCTGACATCTCGTTTACAGTTGCTCTCTCACAGACGTGATATCGCCTCCTTCTGTCTTTTTTACAAATACTTTCACGGTAACTGCTCTGACAAGCTACTTTTCACTAGTTCCCAGACGGCATGAATTTAAATTGCAACTAGGCTGGCATCCCGGTCCCACCCTTTCACTGTCGAAACGGTTCAATGTAGCCCTCTTTTCTACTCTAATAGCTTCATGTCTCGCACCTCCCGTCTGTGGAATTCCTTTCATATTACGTGTTTCCCTGATAGCTATAATGCAATGTCAATTGACTTCTCCAGATGCCTCGATCTATTCCCTATCCTTCTCTTCATCCTTTCCTCTATCACGCCTGTTAACTCTCGCTCACACTCTCTGTAATCCCTTGCGTGCTAGTGGCATCTCGCCTTTTATTAAGAGCTACAGAGGAGAGGAAATTGTGGAGAGCCAATGTCGTGAAGAGACACATCATATAGAAGAAGAAGCTTTTTCAGTCAAGTCTTAATGTTTCTGAAGTTTAAGGTAATTAACTACTTATGGTGCATTTCGATTAAACGTTTCAAATGTTTGGCCGGATTCTCCTCGACCTTGCGTGTTTAAGCATCAAACCAGACAACTGATGCCGGTTTCATTTTATGCCTCCTTTCAAGGTAAAGTCTCCTCTACTTAAAACATTTAAATTAGTTTTGGTGTTGTATTATCAGCTTCATCGTCTTTCAGGTCCACTTTAAGAGATGACGTCAAAATTACATGGTAACCAAAAAGGTTCTGTCCGTTTTTAAAGGAAAAAAAGAAAACGCTTCACAGCATGTGTAACTTATATTTAGTCTTCGAAGTAATCGCCATCCGCATCCAGCACCTTCTGCCAACGTGTCTCCAGCTGTTCAATGCCCTTGCGGTAGAACTCGGGGGGTTTTGACGCAAAGAAGTCCGAGAGGGCTTTGCGCAAGTCTGCTTGATTGGTGAAGGATTTCCCACGAAGATGATTATCCAGGGAGTGGAAGAGGTGGTAATCGGATGGCGCAAGGTCAGGTGAATAAGGTGGATGGCACAAAGTCTCCCACCCAAGTTGCTGTATGGTATCCCTGATCACAAGCGTGACATGCGGCCTGGCGTTGTCATGGAGGAAAAGCACACCTTTGCGATTTACCAGTGCTGGCTCCTTCTGCCGCAATGCCTGTTGCACACGTTTCAATTGCTGCGAGTATAGGTCTCCATTGACCGTTTGGCTCATTGGTAGCAGTTCATAATGAACCACTTGACGACCTGTCCACCAGACACAAAGCATAATCTTGCGTGGGTGCATAGGCGGTCTTGCGGTGTGAGGAACAGCATCCTGAGGAAACAACCAATGTCTGGAACGCTTGGGAGTTTCGTACAGAACCCACTTTTCATCACTGGTAAGCACTCGATTGAATAAGGATGCGGTACGGTGGCGAGAAATCAGCGATACGCAGGCTGCCACGCGTTGTCCTTTGTGGACCTCCAACAGCGTTTGCGGAACCCACTTGCTCAGTTTGTATGTCTTACCTAGGCGGTGCAGGTGAAGCCTAACTGTTTCATCGGAAAGGTTGAACTGTCTTGCAAGTTCACCACACATTAGACTACTGTCCTCTTCAATGGCCGCCTCCAGGACTCCGTCATTCAAGACCTGTGATCGTCCACTGCGAGGCTCATCATGGAGAGACAAATCTCCCGACTTGAATTTTCGAAACCAACGCCTTGCAGTACGTTCATCCACAGCACTATCCCCAAACGCTTGACATATGCGGCGACTTGATGCAGCTGCTGATAAGCCCACTTTGAAGTCGTAAAGCAAACAGCCCCAAACGAGATCTCTAGACACTTCCATCCTTCTCACAGCTGTCCGGCTTATAACGGATGGCCGGGCATGGTGTGCGTGTTTTTTTTATAACGTCTGCTGTTCCTAATCCCGGCAGTCCGAATTTGAAAACAATTGCTACACGCATTTCGTATATATTTCAACTTCATTCAATGACTAATCAAAAAACGGACAGAACTTTTTTGATTACCTTGTACTAAAAAGTTTAACATTTGTATCATCAGAAACAAAATGTACAAATGTTTAGGTTCGTAAATCGCACCTCTATAGTTTTACAAGATAAGTATATATTGATTTTTCAAGCGCAGTTTAGATGTGGCACAAGGCCGAAAATAGGAGGCACCCAGTGAGTATCGAACTCACTATTCAGTCATAATTGTTCTAGCGAGACAAGCTTGCTAACCATTACACCGCATTGGGGTGCCCAAGGATAAATATATATACAGTGTGACTGGAAAGTAATTCCCCATTTTAAAATAGTTATAATTTATTTATTAACAATAATCTATACAAGAAATTGATATGAGAGGAAAGCGTTTAGCATGAAGATTTATTTCAAATCCGATTTGAGAACCAGATTTCGTTACCAGGTTTTCCAGCCGCCCAGAAACAGCGTCAACTGATTTCACCAGGAACTCTGGTGGTATGGAAAGGGTAACTTCTTGTATTTGCACTTCAAGTTCTTCCAAAGTTTTGATTTGGTATTGTAGACTTGCTCCTTTAATCAACCCTAAAGAAAAATGTAACAGGATGTTAAGTCTAGACACCTGACTGGGCACTCATACATGAAATAGGGAGTTACTTTTCATTCACGCTGTACGTATATATATATATATATATATATATATATATATATATATATATATATATATATATGCTAGCAGCATGGCCTGGCGTTGGCAAAATCGTACGACTCATACAGCAATCGCTATCCACTTGACTTGATATTTTTGCCCTCCCTTGCCTTTAAAGGAGTGCCCTTTGTGCTGATGTTGCTATATGCCTTACTTCTTCCCTATCTCACACTGCGAATTTTTTCTAAGCTCTATATTAAACATTAAATCTGTTACAAAAAAAGAACTAAACAAAATGAATACAAAACGATCAGTTTTAAAAAAGGACTCGTAACTGGAAAAACCGAATGAAAAAAGAATGTTATTAGGTTGGTGCAAAAATAATGACGTAATAATGTCGTTTTTTGGCGTACTTTTCTACGTCAAAAAACGACATTCTTACGTCATTATTTTTGCACCAATCAAATACTTTTTCACACCCAACCCAGTTCTGCGGAGTCAGAATCAACGTTGAGTTTAAGCAAGCGAATGAGCCAATTGGAGTAAAGTGCTATACAGATTTGTATTTTCCCACTTGTGACGAATGCAGCTATTGATTTTTTTTGCATGCAAGCATGCTAGTTAATATTCATGTCAGTCAGCTGTTGGCTCTCACGCTGGCCAGTAGAATCTTCCTGCCTATTCATGGCAGCCATCTATAGGCTCTCACTCTGGTCAGTAGAAAATGGCCGCAAACTACATGAAAATCGATTATTTCCACTATCGATGGGAGTTGGGAATTGCAACGTCGGTCTTGGCCTTTCCGCTAACTTGGAGCATGTGCATGTAAATTTTGGTGCAAATCCGTCGAAAATTGCGGCCGTGCATTTGTTACACACACACACACACACACACACACATCCTGCCTTTTATCGATAGAGATATATACTAGCTTAAAAAACGCCCTATAGAAGGCTCTTGATTGGGCATTCATCAAAATAGGTAGGTAGGAGTAGAGGCGATAGGCAACAATAAACTACAGAAGAATTCAAAATTGATCGCTGCATTTAAGTATTGCATTAAAATTTAAGTTTACCTTTTAAAAGTTCAATGATAATTCTTCTGACGCCACTTAATTTAAAAACACTTTGATGTACGTAGAATCTTACTTTCCGTACAAAACATTTTTTTTTATTTGATGGATGACTTTCACTGGATTTCGCAATTAATTTCGATTATTCCCGAATTTATTTCTAAGTTATAAAAATTATTATAGCACTAAATGTTCGTCGCAAAAAATCACATACACATATCGCCGAAAACAATCGGAGTAATGAAAACTTTGGAACCCAAAATTTCAGGATTGCGGGTTTGGATCTGGCCCGGAATGTTTTTAATTTGCCCATGGAGTCGGCCTGATTCTAAAATGGTAGAATATGTTGGACTACGGCCTCTAGGAGTAAGGTTGAAAAAGTGTGACACTGGCATTTGCATTTATTATATATACATATAGTGGCCTCTCCCGTCGTATAAGGATTTGTGCTGAATCATTCACATTTTTTGAAGGGCCGAATACAGAGACCTGGTCAAACAACCCTCCGCAGGTTTTGAAATTAGAGTTGTCCTTCTCCTAGATCAGTTGCCATCAAAGGCTATAGAACCCCATTTTTTTCTGCTATGTACCCATAGCTGGAGGGAGGAAAAGAGGATTAATACCTTTCTCAAGAGTATTAGCACGTAAGTGAATGTAAAAAATGTGGAATTGACTGGAATTTGAACCCGGCTCTCCGATTGCTCAATCCGAGCCGCTATCCACTATTCCACCGTGCCTCTCTCTCTCTCCCTCTCTCTCTCTCTTTCTCTCTCTCTTTCTCTCTCTCTCTGTCTCTCTCAAGATTACCCTGAAGATCTGTTTAGGTAAAACCTAGGTAGGTTTGCCTAGCTCCTTAGGATTATCTGTTTTTTTTTCTTTGGACTTGGAGCTTGAACCCTGGACGATTGTTTTCGCCTTAGTTTAATGTTCTTGGTTCTTTCTTTTTATATTCCCCATTTTTCCTCGGGTACTGATTTGTTCTACTGCAAGTTGAGCTATCCGAGGTTTTTTCTAAACAGTACCAGCATACATACATACATATATATATATATATATATATATATATATATATATATATATATATATATATATATATATATTCACCGAATACAAGGCCGAGAACCAAAGAAAGTGCGAAGAGGCTAAAAGAAAGTAAATTACAGCGGTGGGATAGTGATATAAGCTAAAATATCATTGCATTATTCTTTGTTTCTTCTTTTTCAAGAATGCGTCAAAAAATGACATCTGGTGAGTTAGTGCAAACACCAGTTACGTTCATCAGGGCAAAACGATGTTTTATCATTTCACCCCAAGCAATGCAATTAAGCTACTAAGAAGTAAGGAATTCCTGAGTGCTACAGAATACGAGAAAAATAAAACATTATTAAGGAGAGAGAGAGAGAGAGAGAGAGAGAGAGAGAGAGCAGTCAAAGAAAAAGAATTAAGAAAACAGAAGATAACGATTGACATTGAATTTAAATTTTTGAAGATCAGCGTTGACTGGAAAGCAAGAAGACGGAACAGATTTCCACAAGTAAGAAGTACGAGAAAAGAAACTGTCAGCATAAGACTTACTGTTACATCTAGCCGTTTCAACTGTATAATGACGAGACTTAGTCGCCAATCTTACAGCGCTTAAATTTAAAGTCTACGTACCGAAACAATTACCATGAAAATATTTACAGATAAAGCACAAGGAAGCTACGTTAAGTCGAGATGCCAAATCAGGAAGAATAACATTGCAGATTCTTCTTTTGATTTTAGTGAGAATTTCTAAATGCATAGCAAGGGCACCAGATCAAATGTGTCAGTAATATTCAATGCCTGGATAAACGGTACACTTATAAATGTGTAATTTAGATTCTGTGAATGATTGAGGTATGATAGTGAATAAAAGATGGATGTGACATTACATTTCTGAAATAGTGAAAACATTTGACATATGGGACCATGTGTGTACAAGGAGAACCTGATGCAATGTGCTACGGACCATCGTCGACAGCATAGTGGGCTACAACGGGCCCAAATGATCGGAGAGAAGGGGGTTTGGCTAAGATTTTCAGGTGCAGGACAACTCAAAACTGTCGACTGAACACCAGGATAATTCAAGACTGAGGCAACTCAGCACCAGAATTTTTTTTTTTGTAACCGAATAAAAGTAATTTTTATTTTATAAAAACGATTTAATAATTTACGATTTACTTTATGTTGTGACAAGAATGTGTCTTCTCACTGGACTTATTCAACCTATACAGCGAGGTGATTCTGAGAAGTCCAAACAAGATCCATTATTGGCGGCCACAATCTTAACAACATAAGGTATGCAGATGACACAGTGTTGATAGCAGACATAGAAAGAAAACTACAAACCCTCCTACAGAAGGTAGTGACGGAAAGCGAGAAGAAAGGATTAAACATCAACTGCAAGAAGACAGAATGCATGGTTGTTAGCAAAAGCATGAGCCTAAAGTGCGAATTATAGATCAGAGATACCAAAAGCAATCATGTGCGGAAATTTAAACACTTGGGATGACACTAAAACCCAATAAAAACAAGGAAAAGAGTACTAAACCGCTATGTGTTATGTGTTGAGCGCTGGATGATCTCCTTACAGATGAAAAGAAGACTTGAAGCAACAGAAATGTGGTTCAACAGAAGGATGCTGAGGATACCGTGGACCGAACATGTGACCTACAACGAAATTTTGGAGAAAATTAAATATAAAGGAAACTAATACTTAATCAGAGACGCTTGAGGTTTCTGGGGCAAAAAATTAGAAAAGAAGGTTTGGAAAATCTGATACTCACGGGACAGACAGAGGGTAAGAGGAAAATAACGCATAACATATATAGTGAGCTTGAGTAAATGGATGGCGGACCAGGGCTTAGGAGAAATAAAAGAAAGACAAAGTTTATTAAGAGCTACAATGAACAAGAAGTTGTGGAGAGTCATGATTGTCTACGTCTTGAGTAGACACAGCACATAAAGATGAAAGGTATGGTTCAGGTTTGGAGCAAACCCCATGACGCTATAGGCAGTATTTGTCAACAAGGAGTCATTAAGGTTCGTCGTGCTTCCATAATATTTTGGGATGTTGTTCACATGCAATGTCTTCGACCCGCTGATCCACGTAAATAAGTCATTAAATAGTGACCATTTTGATGCATTGTCTCTTGACCATTTGTATGTATACAGAGGTCCCATATACCGCAAACATGATAGTTTATTCTAACCGGGAATCTTACTGCGCTGAAAGTAAAGATAAACTATGGAAGACGAGACTAACGTGGGAGTTTGGGTGCAGTTTTTAATCATTTTCCCCCAAGCAAGGCGATAAAGCCACTAGGACTAAAGGTGTTATTAGGAGTAAAAGAGAATGAGAAGATATAGTGAGTAGAATGGACAATAAAAGAATCGATTTCAGGAAGACAGAAAATGGTGATTGGCGCTGCATTTTAATAAAGATTGTCGGTGGCATGTAAGCAAGAAGTCGGAAGGGGTTCCACAGGCGAAATGTGCGAGAAAAGAAACTATCAGAATAGAACATTCGGTTACCTCTAGCTTGTTCAACAGTAAAACAGTGAGACCTAGTTGCCAATCTAGTAACACGCTTCAATTCATGCAGTCGAGTTACCAAGGAGGAAAGCTCACCAGAAAAGTTGCCATGGAAACATTTCTAGAAAAGACAGAGGAAAGCCACATGACGTCGGTAAGAAATCGAGCTTGTTGATGTTGTTATTAATATTTGGCGTAATTATTTTTGTTTTTTATTTTCTTTCCTTTCTTTAATTTTTTCCATTCCAGTCTATGCATATATATATATATATATATATATATATATATATATATATATATATATGAAAAAATGAAATATGTCTTTCCCTTACCTGATTTTCTCCACAATAGCCCCTGCTAGCATGCATAAGTGTAAAACGAAAGGCACCATCCAATGCTGACCCTCATTTATCGTTCACGATAGGAAAGTCCACTATATATATATATATATATATATATATATATATATGTGTGTGTATTAATATGATAGGAAAGAACTGTTAGAGTGATGATCCGAAGTTCGTTAGTATTTTTTTTTTTTTTTTTTTTTTTAAAAAACAGTGCTCGATACAGAAGTAGAGCCTAAATTATTTTTAAAAATATGATTCCATCGTGTCACAGAAATTACTGTTTCGAAACTGATCATCCCTATTCAGTTTGATAGATATATATGTGTGTGTGAGTGTGATATATATATATATATATATATATATATATATATAGATAGCAACAAAATATATATATAAAAATATATATATATATAGATGGCAACAAAATATATATATATATAGATGGCAACAAAATATATATATATATATATAGATGGCAACAAAAATTAATTTAAATTAAATTGGATAGATTTTAAAAAAATCAAATAATTTTTTTTAAATTTAAAATTCCTAGCATCTATTATTCGTGTGCTTGTATAGTCGTAACAACCTAACAGATTTAGTCCGATAAAGTCCTAATGGACGAAACGCTTAGCAAGAAAACCTTTTCCAATTTGTCATACATATATAGCGTCACCCCATATATATATATATATATATATATATATATATATATATATATATGTATAGAATGAAAGAAAATGATGACGTATATGTTTTTATTTATCTTTAGCTACGATATGACGGGTTATATAGCTGTCTAATCTAATACTCGGTTCAACACATAACTCGAAAGATGTACTAAGTACTATATTTCTGCTTTTCATCAAACGCAAATAGTAGCCCTTTCCATGAATTAGTTTAATTATCATTTCTAAAATAGATTAAGAATCGAAAAAGGCGGAAAATAATGGTATAAAAAAACAGAAAATGTCTTTTAATTCGAGTTGGTGTGGACGACGCTTTAATAATTCATAACTTCCACTTTTTTCTTCCCAATTTTCTCTCTCTCTCTCTTGACCTTTCTGTCCCACCATTACCCTGGCAGATGGGCAAGCGATTAGTGTTTTTTCGTTTTATTATTCGCTATTATTATTATTATTGGTATTTTTGCTGCTATTTTTGTCAATGTTAACTTTCATTCATTACTCCTTGCTGTTTTATTACTTCATAAAATTTGATATATTTTTTTAAAATATTTTATTATTTTAATTTATTTTTATTCCGTCTCTAGTGGTAGCCAGTATCAATTGTTTTTCATTAGAAAAATATTAAATAAGTAAAATAAAAAAGCGAGCAATTTAAAAAAAAAAAAAGAGTTAAAAATAAAGACAATTTTACTTTAAATTTTGGTTGAGATACAGCACGAAATTTAAAATAAAACAACAACAAAAAAATTATCGATTCCCAACCAACACCCTACTGAAAAATTCATGAGAGAATCAACTCCGTCTCCACACCAACTAGTTTTAAACTAAACCCGGCCAAGAATTTGGTATTCAACCATTCGTTATTGTTCGCATTGTGTTTTTCTCCATTTTTATTCGCAGAAAAATCCTTTTAAATATTGTTATCGGATAAATTCCAGAAGTGTTTTTCTTGCGATGACCCCCTATTCTAAAGTAACTCCCTAATTCATCTCCGTTCGCAAACAATGGCGTATTTTGTCCTTAATCTTTACGACTCTCAAAAAATTCATACTTATTTCTCCAATGCATTCTTAAAATCTTCATGCCATTTTTCGTTTTCTTAAAATTATGCAGAGTGCGGCAAAAATACCTCCCTCATTTCAAACTTTTGCCTGTTTGGTGCTAGGGAACTTAGGTAATATAACAATGCTGTATTCATATAGCTAATGTCTTACCCATTTTTATTCAGCT